AGAAAATAGTCACTCGGGGCTAGGTCTGGAGAGTAAGGAGGGTGCGGCATCAATTCAAACTTTAGATCGTTGATTTTAGCCGTCGCAACGATTGACGTGTGCGCTGGTGCGTTATCGTGATGAAACAAGATTTTTTCTTCGCCAGATGAGGTCGTTTAATTTTCACCTCGTGGCTCAAACGTTGCAATAAGTCTGCGTAGTATTGACCAGTGATAGTATTACCCTTTGCAAGGTAATCAATGTATATAATACCTCTTGCATCCCAAAAAACAGTAGCCATAACCTTGTTCGCCGAAAAAATTGTTTTTGCCTTCTTTGGAGTTGGTTCCCCTGGTCCAATCCACTGTTTAGACTGTTCTTTGGTTTCAGGAGTGTAGTGGTGGACCCACGTTTCGTCAACGGTTACGAATCGACGCAAAAATTCGCTTGGATTACGCTTATACAATGACAAATTTGCGGTAGAAATGTTTTTTCGAATCAATTTTTGGTCGACTGTTAGCAAACGCGGCACCCATCTTGCACAGAGCTTTTCCATATGCAAATGTTGGTGCAAAATATGTTGCACACGTTCATATGACATCTTACAGGTCTCAGCTATCTCACGCACTTTCAATCTGCGGTCTCCCAGCACTATTTGATGAATTTTTTCGATCATATCTGGAGTTGTGACCTCAACGGGGCGTCCTGAGCGAGGCCCATCAGAGGTGCTCACACGACCCTTTTTAAACTCGGAAACCCACTGCTTAACGGTTGAATATGACGGGGAGGATGTCCCCAGTGTTGAGTCCATCTCTTTTTTAATTTCCTTCGGCGTTAACCCCTTCAAATAAAAGTATTTGATGACAGCACGATTTTCCTGCTTTTCCATTTTTACGAAAACCACAGAGGCGTCTTGTTCAGCGTGCTGTCAAACCTACACTAGCAAGGAGATCGGGCTGAAACTATAGCTACAAGCTATCCAAGGATGGTACTATAGAATGTCACCTCAAGGTAGGCCTAGTGGCGTCATCTCTTGGTTAGGCCGGAAACTTATCAATCCACCCTCGTATAGCGACGACTATTTTGGGAATTTAAAGACGATAATTTCTACACATATTTGGATTACCTACAGCGGTGAATAATAAAATCTTTTTAGGATTTTCCTTTCTAAAATGCTAACAAAAATGATTGATAAAGTAAAGAATTGTCTTATGATTCATTGTGATTAAGACCATACAACAGATGTGATTAAAAGCTAATTAAAAGTGTTAAATGTTCTTGAACTTGGGTATCAACTCATCATCGTGAAATCAATAAACAAAAAAACCCTCACCGTTTCTAATAATTTTCCCTTTTAAATTTTAGAAGATGCCTTCTTATTATTGAAAAGTCCGCGTTAAAACAAACTTTTGCACTTCAAATTGCATTCTATATAATTTATTGAAACAAGTTATGCTTAATTAACTTAATTAATTTTTTGCGTCTAGCGGAAAATAATATCGTAAATCTCGCCTACATTTTTGTTTGCCTCATTTGCATACGCGTTAAGCTTTTACTGATTAGCGGAATGGCAGACATGTTTTATGCTTACAATTACCTACATTTAAATGGACAATTCATATTTTTACTGCTATTAAAATGTAAAAGTCCATTAAATCATTTGTACCGTATGCTTTGATACGACCTCGTACTTACTTTTGTCTTTAACAGTTTCTTAATTATAATGGATGAATTGAATTGATAAAATATATTTGTTATAAACATTTAAACGACTTAGGCAACATCATAATCAGATTTGTTTTTAAGGTTGTCTATCGTAAGGAGTTACAACAATTAATAGTAACAAAATATAATCGATGACGTTCAATTGTTCTGATGGCTTTTGTTGTGCACATTCTTGTTTAATTTACGAACGGGTTTATTTAAAAAAAAAATCAAGAAGTCCGAATGAAACAAATGAACGCAAGATGCGGATTTATTGTAGTAATTAACAGCCTTGCAAATTATTTTTTTGATTCAGGAAATAAATAAAACTTTTAACAACCAGGCAATAAAAGTTTTAAAAATGTCGACGTGCATTTTTACGGCCGAGAAAACGTCGAAACAAAAACGCCTGTCTTTTAATTAATGATCCTTCAAGTTTTCAGAAGATTTCCGTGGCAGTTGATGATAATTATTATTAAAAGTACCGAGGACATCGGTCACACCTGTATCTTAACTTGCTTTATATGCACCTGATCCACATTCTTGAGTATTTGCGTTGCTACTACGATATTGAGTTTGACGTTTGGTTTAAAAAATGCCCAGATGAGAGGTCAGTTCTTTTTCGCGCGAAGTCGTAGGCAATAAAGAAGATTGACTTCCTTAGGTGAATCCTTGAGGAATTAACGCTCAGAAACAGGCACTTAAAACAAAGTAATTACAATAATAATACATAATAATGCCGAACATTCCTAAAAGTCATTCCCTTTGAACCTGCAGGACCTACATATGAAATAGGTGCTGAAGCATGTTTTCAAGGTGAGTCGTAAATGAACAACAAATGAGTACGTATGAGAAATATTCTATTTGTACAAAAACATTAGGTATATTAAGGGCTCTGTAGTTCAAAAAGGCGAAACTATATCCCTAAGGGATAATTCTGCCTTTGACGTGACAGATTGCATGTTTTTAGGACGATTCGTAAGCGAGTACTAAATGAGTACTTACTTAAATTATGTCATCTGTTAAATACAGGTCATTTTAAAGGTTCTGCATCAGAAAGAAACCATTAAAAGCTACTTTTTAACTTTGTTGCGATATGGAACATGTTTGTAGTATGAGTACAAAACGAGTAATAAATGAATACGTATCGAAAATGTATCATTTGTACGAAAAAGTTTCAAAAAGGAAAACAACACCCTTGAAGGCTAATATTGTCTTTGTTGCGACAGATCCCATATTTTCAGAACGAGTTATAGGCGAGCAATATGTGAATACCTCTTACAAATATGTCACCATACCAAATGCAGAAGTTATTTTTAATAGTTTCTGTACCTGGACAAAGAAAAATACAACCCTTAAGGTCTTTTTTTATCATTCATGCCATAGGTAACGTATTTTTTTTAGTACGAGTCCAAAACGAGCAGTATCAAATTCAACTAGGATAATATTGCAAAAATCATCAGTCTATGACTTCTACGTCCGAAAAAGAAACAACCGGAACGTTATTTCTGTTTTTGTTGTTGGAGGTGGGGAGTCATAAACGAGTAATAAATGAGTATCTGACAGAAATATGGCACAGGTCGTATAAATAATTGATTTGAGGAGTTATATATCAATAATAATTATTACTCATACGTAATCATCAACATAATGTCAAGTTTTAAATGAGTATCACGTCCGTTAATGAGACAGTTTTGAATAAAATTATGGCATGATTTACTAAACTGAAATCACCCGGAAGATTCGATTGTTATCACGTAAAATATTTATGCCTGTATGTATGTATTGTAGCACCTTAAATGAAAGTAACACCACTGCCCTGCATACAAACTAACATTAAACGAAATTTGGCTGATTTCTAATTTAAGATGAAACGTGATGACCCGGTCTTCAAGGAGTGGACAATTTAAACTGCTTTTTACCTGACATTTAACAATTGATTACAACGAAATTTCATGCAATTGTTTGACATATAAACCAGTTGCATACAAAACCAAGAGAAATAAATTTTTGTCATTATTACAGTTACTTATTTGATTGTAATTTCCAAAGATCTGAAGTTTCCTTTAACATATTTCAGAATGGTTTTAGATTAAAGTTTTTCTTAGAGGTAAAAACAACTGTCTGTCACTTAACCGTTTGACGACATTAAATCAAATCAAATATGTTATACAAACAGCTTACAAAACACATTCTTTTTCTTAGGGCTTGTCTCTTTTAGCAGCAAAGGTATTTGTGTAGATTATTTTCGTATATAAAAAGTAGTAGTCATTGTTGTGTCGGAAAAACAATGAGGAAAATTAGATATTTTGTTTCAATGACATTGGCAAAAATACAAATCCAAATTAGATTTCGTATCTGATTAATGTGCAGGGTGGGATTTGTTTAAAAAAAATAACACACAAAAATTCCAAAAATACAATCTCGGGGAATTCTTAGACCTGAACTACTAATTCGACAAATTTTTGGAATGCCACAAGCGAATGTCTTATTAAAAAGTACAAACTTTGAAGAAATGCATAGTTATTTGTTAAACCTTGATACAGTGAGTCAGTTCGTCACAAATTTTATATAAATGAACTGGTTACTAGAAGTTCTGTTCACATGCACTAGCGGAATGTTTTGTATGACTTAAAAGCCAACAAATTAAATTGTGGTATTTTAAAAATTTATTGACTACATTACCTAATACTTAGTGGTAAATTAAATCCAAATTTGATTTTTTTGATTACACATATTTTCCTATAAAATATTTTATATATTGTTATAAAAAAGGAAAGATTAATNTTATTACGCACACTAAATTAAATTAATTATTCTTAATTTTCCTATTATTAATCACTCATTTATAGATTTCGAGAACAAAAAAAGACTTAAAAAATGACCCAAAAATGTAGATTATTACAATTTACGTAATTTTTCTCAATGTAATTTTTCAATTTTATATTTTCAGGGCATGATCCTTATCATATTAATTTCTTCGATAGTTGAAACTGAAATTACGTTTCGGGCAATTTCTTCACCCAACCCCCTGTTTAAGGAGAATTTTTTTACAAAGACGTGAATCGTCTATAGATTATTTAAATGACTAATACAAATACCTGACATTACTTTGGTCTTATTATAACTTAAACAGAGACACCTCTAAAGTAAAAAGAAACAGTATTTTCTAGATCAAAACACAGAATAAGATTTCCCGTTAGTGTAACACGTATCTGTGTGTATTATACGTATCATATCGTATAATGGTACGAATAATATAAAGGCGCAAAAATATTCTTCGGATCGACCTTGTATATAGACACATACATAGTTGTGTCCTATGTGGGGAAGCGAAAGCTATAAAAGCTTTCAACAAATCTTAACCACACCGTTTACCATACAAGCACGCGAAACATAGTGGGTGCCATGAAGTTATACGTAAGTAATTCATTTGTTTATTTTTTATGGTTATTATGGTCAATTAATTCATTATTTAACTAACTATTTCCTGTAAAAAAATTAAATTACATTGCGGAAGGGGTTGTTGGAGATGGCGTTTGAAGTAAAACATTATTTTATCATTTATCAAGTGGGTGCCTCAAAGAGATAACAAAGGGAGAGGGGGTTGGAGTTGAATGCGTTTAGATTTGTAAAACTTAAGAATGAAAAGTATTGTTCTTCAAAACATTTTTGATAAAATTTTGTTTAGTTTTCTGTGATGTTTAGAATATAAAAAGAACTGCTTCCTATTACTGTAACACTTTTTGAAATTCTTGACAATTTTGACATTGAGGTAATGTGAACAAAATAATATCCAATGTCATTATTCATATTAACAACTTTCTCTCACAATATTAGTAAAAGGCATATTTTAAATTACGCAATCTACGCGTTCATTTAATTAGTTCTAATCACACATTTTGTGAATTAATTAATTATTAATTAAGTATAATTCCTTCGAGTGTATAAAATTTATTTTATCTAAATCTAAAACGGTGTATAAAATTCTATAAATTTATTTAGTCGTTCAACTGTTAGGCCAAAAACAATGAAAGTAAAAGTAGAAGGCCTTGTTCAATGTTACGGGCCGAGTTATTTGGTGTAACGCGTTTTGATCTAAATCCGTTTCATTACGCTATTTATTGTATAATAAATAATATACGTAAAAAGGTTAAACGGCATTATTTTTGAGTAAATTTGCACAGCACTGTAGGGATATGTAGTCACTCATGCTTGCAAATTTATTCTTCTAAGAACGAAGTGGTCTGAACTACAATATCAAGGTTTTGTATGAATGTTAACAACTAAATAACCGTTGCGTTGGTAATGTAGGCTTTTGAACTGAAAAGCGAAAGGTTGAAAACAATACTCTAATAACTATCTATTTATTATGGTTCTTTTGAATATATGCTACAATGTGTGGTATAACAGATTTTGTTCTATTATCTAATACTAGCTTTTCCCCGCGGCTTCGCTCCCAGAAATTAATATTCTTTCTCCATAAAACCTTTTAGCTCCCAATTCACCCTTACAACGTTTTAATTTTGTGTAATGTCGCCATCTTTCAAATACAAACGTAGCAACAACATTTCATCCTTAAGGGTTGATTTTTAAAAATTGCCAAAACACGTATTTGCTTAATTTCAGCAATGAGCATCCTTCGAGTAAATCCGAGTACAAATAAAATGTAGCCCATGGAAACGTTGCAACCTCTTTTCATTTGATTAATAATATCAAACAGCATATATACCAAGTTTCAAGTAAATTCAACCATAAATAAAGTATGTCCCAAACAAAAATTGCAACACCTTTCCCTTTTTTAAATTGTCGAGATAGATCTTTCAGAAATTAAATGAGAGACCATTAAAACAAAGTTTCAAGTAAATCTGATCACAAATAATATATGTTCCATTTAAACATTGCAACTCCTCTTCACCACTCATCCCCCCCAACAGAGATTGAATTTTTTAATCAATTTCAAGTAAATCGAACCAAAAACAAACATGCAATCTTAACAAATGAAAGGCTAGACTGATGTTTTGACTGATAAATTTTTTGTTTTGCTGTCAATTTCGTTTTGTCATTCCATGTCAGTTGCGTTTACATATACCACATTTTTCTCGTGGAAAGTGATAAAAAGTATCCTATGTCCTTCTCCCGGTTGTAAGATACCTCCCCATCAATTTTCAGCCAAATCGGTTCAGCCGTTCTTGAGTTATAAGTGAAGTAACTAACACGACTTTCTTTTATATATATAGATATTGTTGATTAAGTCTAAATTCTTAACAATTGAAGTTGTCTTAGCCTAAAAAGAGTTCTATTATCTTTCAGTAAGAAATAACTGACATTACAATATTACGACTTTATGCCATAATTGGTTTTGTTAAGGATTGTTAAATGTGTTAACACAATTACTGTAGAGTATAAAATAATTATTTTACCCAATTCTTATGGATTCTTCTTCTATAACAAATTGCTCCTTCAGGTGACCCTATTAGTAGCTGTGGCTGCTATTGCTCCGTCATGGAGTAGAGTGGTGCAACAACAGGACTATACCACCCCTACGCCCATCTTGAAACAGATCAATCGACACAACGAGGATGGATCGTACAGTTATGGGTACGAAGGGGCAGATGGGACGTACAAGATCGAAACCAAGTACCCCAACGGGGAAGTATATGGTAAATACGGATACGTCGATGACCAAGGGAAAGTAAGGGAGGTGGAGTATGGAGCCACCAGAAGGGGATTTGAACCAGCCGGTAGCGAAATCAGCGTTCCGCCACCTACTTTGGAACAAAACCCAAAAGCGGCAAAACCATTAGGTAAAATACATTTAAAACAGATTTGTACCAAAAAATATGAAAAAAATATCGGTGAAACGTGATAAACTAGATAAATATCGGTAAAGTTTCATAATTTTTAATTTTATTTTTGACAATTGATTCAGTTGTTTTTATTCTGATTGGTGTTTAGTTAGAGAGATTGTAAAGATGAAGTTATAGTTGCAGTCGAAATACCTTTCTAAGTGGTGTCGATGAATGATACTCTTTAGGTTTAATCTAATCTGGCATCTCCTAAATTTAACTAATTTTTTGAAGCACCTAATGAGGAAGACGATGGTCAATATCGCGAAGATCCAAGTGTATACTACAAAGATGACAAATACAATCGCGATCCCCCAAGACAATACAACGATCAAAGGTACGACACGTGGAACCAACAACCAGCATGGAAACAGCCAAGTCGCCTGGACGATTTCGACAATTTCATCTTCAACAATCCTACCACAACCCCTAGACCATACTATCCCCCTCCACCACCACCACCACAACCACCACAAAGATCTTACAACCCCCAACCTGCTTACAATCCTCCTCCTCGACCTGCTTATAACCCACCACCCCCACCACCTGCATACAACCCCCCACCGGTACCATATAATCCACCTCAACCGGCCTATAATCCCAATTACAACAACTACAACAATTATTACGCACAAAACCCCTACGTGCCGAACATCGACTACTATACTGGCTCTTACACGGTCAACTACAGGTAGAGGGTGGTTTTTCGTAATAGTTGATAGTCTTTTGTTGTAAATATATGTATGTACTTAAATAAATAGTTAAGAACTTTCACATGTGAAGACTGATCAGGGGGAAGCTGTTTCAATTTTTGATCGATACAATTTTCTTTATTCTTTTATCGCTTCTGACCTGATGGGTCAATTTACTGATAGATTGTAGAATTGAATTTACTGATGGTAAGTCGATGCAAACTGTTGTTCTTTTGTTACCTTGTTAAGTGTTAGTATTTATTGACTAGTCTATTGAAGAAATTTTTGGCCAATAAAAAAATTGGTTTCTTCAATTACAGATTTGTAATATGAATTGTACCTACACAAAATCAATAAAATGATAGATATAAAATAAATATCTTCTTTTATATAATAAAAGAAAAATTCAGGATAACAAGGCCGAGTTATTTGGTGTAACGCGTTTTGATCTAAATCCGTTTCATTACGCTATTTATTGTATAATAAATAATATACGTAAAAAGGTTAAACGGCATTATTTTTGAGTAAATTTGCACAGCACTGTAGGGATATGTAGTCACTCATGCTTGCAAATTTATTCTTCTAAGAACGAAGTGGTCTGAACTACAATATCAAGGTTTTGTATGAATGTTAACAACTAAATAACCGTTGCGTTGGTAATGTAGGCTTTTGAACTGAAAAGCGAAAGGTTGAAAACAATACTCTAATAACTATCTATTTATTATGGTTCTTTTGAATATATGCTACAATGTGTGGTATAACAGATTTTGTTCTATTATCTAATACTAGCTTTTCCCCGCGGCTTCGCTCCCAGAAATTAATATTCTTTCTCCATAAAACCTTTTAGCTCCCAATTCACCCTTACAACGTTTTAATTTTGTGTAATGTCGCCATCTTTCAAATACAAACGTAGCAACAACATTTCATCCTTAAGGGTTGATTTTTAAAAATTGCCAAAACACGTATTTNAGCAATAATGGTGCTCCAATTCATAAACTCCCACAACAATATTTCTCTTCGATCAAGCTACTATCTTAACCCCAATTTTCAATCTCGTAAAAGAACTTCACCTGAGTGGAAAGTGAATCAGTTGTGCAACTCGAAACTATTCCATAATAAAATATAAGATCATTAGAAGTATTAGCGCTCCTGATGACGAGATTGGGTGGAGTAGGTCGCTTGGTAAGGCCTTGAAATCGCCGATAGGTACCAATGGGAAATATAATAATATTATACCAACAAAGGTATGCGGACGCCTCTGGCTACCGGCAGCGATTTGCTCGGACAGTTTATCGTAAGATTCATTGATCGATGTTAAATCAGTTTGAAATACCGATAGGACTATAAATAACCTACGTTAGAAGTGGCAGAATGGGTTGCATAAATACACAAAATATATCGATCTATAATATCGTACCAAAATCGAAGCCAGAGCTGTAGTAAAAAAAAAAAGAGTTCATTTAATGAACCAGCTCTGACATCTCGCGGTTAAGCACTAAATTACAAAAAAGAGTTTTTGACTGAAAAGTTATGCTTCATAAAGCTTGACGCCAAATGATGAGATGTCGGTTATCAAATGAACTGTTTTTGTTCAAATTCTGACTTTGATTTTCTACGAATAACATCCCTTTTTTGTACCCGGAAAATTTGAAGTGCAAAATAATCTAACAAAGCTTTCATTAAAAATTAAATTTAGAAATAATGAAAAATTTTCATATAAATACCTTTGTTGGTAAAATAATGATATATTTAGACTTATTCATTATTCATCAAAACAGAAAAATGTGAAAATCAAAGATCTACAATAGCTAACATTCACTGGTCTAATTAAAACTGATATTTTACCTTATTTCCCATATTTAATGAAAATTGTTCAAACTACATAATCAACAATCAACTCTGCATAGTCAGTATGTAATTAATACATGGCCTAATTAATTAATCGCTGAAAAAAGCGAAAATACTTTAATGGATTTTTGCGGTGAGTCAAAAAGAAGTAAGAAGTTTTGCACAGAAAATTTTTAAATTTATAATATACTATTTTAATTATTTTTTAATTGTCGTAGTTAGTTACACATTACTAATTTGGAATTTTTAGATACATATAACTGAAAAAAATGTTAATGAAATAAGGAAAGTAGGTAGGTATATTTTTCTGTTTATCGAGGTAGTTACCAACGAAATATTGATTACCTTACTTAAATTATTTGACTGGTAAAAGCAGACTAATAAATTATGGGTTTACAATTAGCAAAATGAATTAAATAGAAAGTTATTTCCTTAAAAACCGAATTCTTGAGAATTTTAATGCATGTCAAGCAATAGAAATGCAAATGTTTTAGGCAATTTAAAACGAAATTTGAATACCTCAGAAATTTTTTGATACATGCTGTTTTCGATTGGATTTTTTACCATTTTTGATGAACACCCTGCACAATAAATTAAATTTAACCACTTGAAGCGATCTTGTATTCAAACAGGTAGCAAAGTTTTGTCTGATTTTTTTTTTTGTTAAAATTATAGTTTGACTACACTAAGCTTATTTGAAAACTTTTGGGGCCACCCTGACTTCACAATGAATATTTTTTTAAAGGTTTTTGCAAAAAATCTTGCGCAAACCCAAGCTGACGAACAAACCTTATTAAGGATGCATTTCAAGAATTGTAACAGTATGAGCTTTAAATTAAGTAGCACTTAAAATGCAGCATAATATCAAAATTACGCAATACATATATGTACATATATACACAGAGGTACAGAAACACAGGTCGGCTACGTGTTTTTTCTAACGGCGAAAGTGAATTTGTTTTCAAACGTTGTCTTAATTTTAAACTACATTTAACTCGCACCCGTCGTTACTCAACGAGAAACAGAAAATACGTTTTTAATCGTATTCGTAATGCTATTTACGTAATTTATTTGCATATGGGGGTAAATCGGAAAGAAAATTACGCTGTTTTAAATAAATCCATCTCTGTAACATATGTAAATAAATAGAAACATCTACAGAGTGTTTGTCATGTCCTAGTAATATAATCAATATCCATTAACAATTTCTTAATGTTTCACAAGTCTTGTTATTAATATTTCTCGTTCTCCACAATCCTAAGCGTGTTCAACCCCCTCCCGCGTCCGAATAAAATAACCAATTCCGTAATTGCTAGAAGAAATTGTGAGCACAATCTTCTCAATTACGGTCCTGCATAAAAGAATTTTTTTTATTAACTTCCCATTAGGAAGTTATTGTAATTGGGTCGAAAAGTGAAATCGGAATTTTCATTATATTTCCACGTTTTAACATATTAGTAGCATGCTAGCCAATTTTTTTGATGATGTGTGTATGTACGTACGTACGTACGTACGTACGTATGTACGTACGTACGTACGTACGTACGTACGTACGTACGTACGTACGTACGTACGTACGTACGTACGTACGTACGTACGTTCGTATGTCAGCATTTTTTTCGTTTTCGATATCTCAAGAACGGATTGAGATATCGCCCTCAACCAAAATTTTTTCGAAAGATATTATCATAATGAAGATCTGAAAGAAATTTGAACGAAATCGGTCAAGCCGTTTTTTTTTTATAAAAAAAAAAACGAATTAATTACAAACAATTTAATTAAAATACGTTCTAATCTAATCACAACAATGAAGTTACGGAATCAATAATAACGAAATATCATTATTCAAGACAGGGAATAACATATTATAATAACATATTATAATAAAAATTTGTTTATAACAAAATGAATTGTTATAAACAATCGATAAACAATAAAAAATAGTATTTACCAATTGACTGATGCAAGTACTCTATCAATTCGGTTTTCTCAGACGAAATACTGTTTCTTATGGGTTTATAAAATGACGAACTCTCAAACATTGTTTGTTATTTATTATTGTGCCGCGTTTTTTTCAAACTTTAGAAACGAATGTACTTTACAATAACTGTATTATCTAATGGGAAGTTAGTCGTATTAGCACCGACCAAAATGTGCTCAGACCAATTTTCGTTTCCTGATTTTTTTTGTCATGATTTTTCATCAACAATCGGTGGCACGCATGGTGTAAATTTATGTAAGTGTGTATTTGTTTGTTATAGGATCTTGTGGTGTGAGTGAAAGGTATTGTTATAAGTTTTAAGACAGACAGAAACCGAGGCATACAACTGAGCACCGCATTGGTCCGGCAGAGACCAGGAATCAATGCTTGGCTACCTTAGCTCCAGGACCTTGTAAGACCCCTTCCATAAAGTGACATTTAGACCTTATAAAAGATCCATCGTGACCCCCGCCTACCTCCAGTGCTGTGCCAATTGTTTCTGGACAATGATGTTGCTGAATTTTGTAAGTATTTTAATTATCTATAATTCACAAAACTTTTCCTTTTTTTTTTTGAAAAAGATTCAAATTCAAACCAAATGGGAGTGGTTGGTAGAAACTTATAGGAGTAACAGTTGATTTAATATATTTTTCTGCTTCCGAAAAACAAAATTAATTTTTTTGAAAAGTTTCAGAAGCAAATAAATTTTTTATATTGTTTGCATTAAAATTATTAAATTCAAATAAAAATTTAAATAGGAATGAATATTGTAGACGATATAATTTTTTTTTGTTTTGTTTGGTCAATTAGTATAGTAGTAGTAGTAGTAATAGTGGTATTAGTAATTAATTTGCGTAATTAAACTATTTTCGGGTACCATATGGAAACCGGCATTTATTGGTACCATAAAACCACATGAAGAAAGCAGTGCAATCTAATTTACATTGGGCATATTTATGTCGACCTTGGTGCAACCACGTCTGAATGTCAATTTTCTACTTACAATTACATATGTACCTTGCTTTTTTAAACAATACCTTTATACAAAAGGGCATTAATGTTAACACGGTACTTCTCGAAAATTGCTTTCGAAACGAAAACGTCTACTTAATTTAATTGTTTGTTTTCCCAAACAACTTTCCAAAAATATGTCTCAATAAAATCAGGAAGCCTTTAAACAATGTATAATAATTAATTTTACTCGAATTGCAAGGTAATCAAAAATAATTTAATTGCGTACGTTAAGTGAACATATACATTGTCGCATTTAACCAATAAATAATATAAATAGATACCTACATAGCAAAAAGAGACAAGGACAAGGGTTCTCAACTTAAGTTTCTTTTTTTGTCGGAAAGTGGTTTCACTGTCGCGTTTCTGGCCAAAGAACAAAATACTTTCGTAATTACGTAAAATTAGACCACCTTATACATTACATACTGCATGCATAAATACACATGTAAAATCGAAATAACATTTTATTAATCGTTAAGTACCCTACACTTAAATGTCAAATGGCCGATTTAAGTAGAAACACACCTTAATATTATGCAGAAATAAAATATACTTTTACGTTTCTTTAATGCGATTTCGCAGTCGAAATAAATCATTTAACTGATCTACTTTTATAAAATTTGTATCGAAAGACCTTCAAAAGATGCCCCGATTTGTCACCGAGTCGACCTTTGTAGATCATTAAAAATGAATTAATACTTTTGAATTTCTGAGGCCCCTCATTAAAACTCGATTACTACTTTTGTTAATTGATTATTTTTTATGAATTCTAAAGGTACTAGTGGCCAGCCTGCTGGTTGGAGCTTTAGGTCAAAGGGATTATCTGGATGAACCTCTGCGAGCACCACCACCAAGGAGACCAGCGCCAGCTAGAATAGACCCTGACTATTCCGGACCCGCGGCTCCTAGACCCACGCCTGTTCCTATTTTAAAACAAATCAACAGGTACTTGTCCTACCATTTGTTAGTACCTAATCAATTATTAATTTAATTACTTTTAGGCACAACGAAGATGGTTCGTACACCTACGGTTACGAAAGTGCCGATGGGTCGTTCAAAATTGAGACCAAACTACCAACAGGGGAAGTGAAGGGTAAATATGGTTTTATCGATGACGTAGGCAAAGTGAGGGTTGTGGAATACGGTGCGACCAAATATGGTTTTGAACCGTCCGGTGAAGGTATAACTGTAGCTCCGCCAACTTTGGTCGACGACACCACACACAAGGATGGTACCTTGAAAGCGGAATATGCCGACGATCTCTACGAACCTGCCGCACCAGCCCCTAAGAGCAAATACCAAAACTATCCTCAAAACTTCCCATCAAGAAATGTTGCGCCGCAATCATTCCAGCCGGCGCCACCAAGGCCAAAGCCACAGCAATATGCACCATTGCCACCCCCACCACCAGCCCCACAAAGAAATTTCGGGCCCGCGCCTCCTCGACCCAACATTCCAGGAGCATCTCTTGCCCTTGATTTTGGAGGACCCGCACGAGCATCTCCTGCACCCGCTAGACCTCAGGCACCTCGTCAATCATTCCAACCGGAAGCAGTCCCAATAGAAGAGGACAATTACGAGCAAGATCTTCCGGTACCACCAAGGCCAAAAGTCACATACGCACGACCAGCACCCCCACCACCAAGACCCCAACAGCCTTCCTTCCAGCCTGATTCCGACTTTGGACCACCACCACAGCGACCTGCGCACAGACCAGCAGCAGTTACAAGGCAAATAGGAAGCGGACCCGGAATTTTGGATCAGCTGGCCAAGGACTATGCACTTCCGGCCAACGGAGGAGCTCCCCTTCATGATATCAGCTTCGGTTACTACTAGTACTGGTGTTGTAAGTGGGGGAACAATTATGAAAATGTAGTAAATAATTTGCGTTACATGAGAGAAAGTCAACCTTGTGGTGCCCTTGATGTGAGTTGTTTCCATTGTCAGACTTTATATCACATATGTAGGTAAAGTTCTAAACTACCTTTTCGATGTATTCGCGTGATAAAATGAGTATTGGTAAAATCAAATTTTCTTTCGCTGAAAAAATTCTCCTATTCTTTTATTTCTTCATGGGGAAGTATTTTTATTTTTCTTCCGATTGAGCAACTCTCTTTCTTGCTTCTATCCAGTTTCATTACCACTTCTACTTCACTATTAGTTTCTTTTGATTAGGTGCTGATGCTTCTTTAAATTTGTTTTTATTGTATTTTATTTAACTGTTTGTCTTTCAATATGTTTAACTATCTTAAGAATTTCTGATGTATAATCGGGTCCGTGTACATGGGTAGTCATACTTATGGTATTTTTATTTATGTATTTTAATATTGTGTAATACCTTTCCCGTTCGCAGACTGTTACGTTTTATATGTAAGTACGTATAGCATTGATTGTATGCTGGCGTGTGCCCGTGTATTTTACTATTACATAGGCGTCAATATGTTGTAGAGCTGTTTTAATAAAGAAAAAAATTATAAAATACCTACTCGACGTCAGTGTGTCTTATTGGGTGTGGCACCACTATCTCAAGGCTGACCGATCAACTATCTTTTTCACAAAACATTAAACAAAAGAAATGCGTTAAGTAGTCCAGAGGTTAGAAAGCTATTTGGATACCAACGTTGGTAATTATTTATTACACCCACGTTCTCTTTTCGGTTAGGTACAATAGGTACCGGACGCAAGCAAAGAATTTCAAATATTTACATATTTACACGATACTTATACAGTTGTTTTATGTTTTATTCCTATTCTGTTACCATCAAATTATAAAAAAAGGGAAAACGGATCGTCTTCCCAAGGTAATTACGGCACAAGGGTGCCATTGGAATCTCTTTAGTCGCCTTTTACGACACGTCGAGACAACGGTGAGGCTATTCTAATCACCCGACCTCACACGGGTACCATTTTATAAGATCTTTTTTACATAAGCGAAATCACATACATATTATAACCTAAAAGTGCAGATTCTTTTTTACCCTTTTAGACTTAAGAGAACGACCAATATAAAATTTTTCCAACCAAAACTTTTAATGTGTTTTTATTATTACAAAGGAAACTAACAAAAAAAATGCAGTGTTTCTACACTAAAATTGTATTTATTGTAAATTCACTCATTCCGAATATCACGCTCAGTACAAATTCCTATACAATAATTTAAACTATGACAATGAAACTGAAACAATCGACAATATATAGGAAAAATGTATAATTAATGTTACCTATCAATACAAATTTGATAAAACTACAAAACTTATAATTATTTTGGCCTTAAACGTTTCAAAAAAGAAAAAATTTAAACGTTAAGTTGCAGCCTGTCTTTCCAAGCTAAAGTTATAGTTGTACTGTTTTTCCAATTGTTGTAAACTTTTCTCTGTAATAAAAGGTATCTGGGCCTAAAATAAACCCAGTTAGTTAACAGAACCAACAATTAGTCAAAAATATTTACCGCTTCTTTTCCGTATGAAGTCATAAACTTAGGATTTAAAACAAATGGAACTCCCGCCAGTTCTTGATGCATAGTATTGGTTAGTGTTTGATGAGAATTAATTGGGGGATAAGGTGCTGGTAATGGTGGTTGAGGAGCTGCTCTGGAAGGAACCGGAGGAATATATCCGGGCTTAAGAATTTCATAATCGTGATCGTCATCGAGATTCGGATAAACATCTGATGTTTTAGAATTGTCCGTGTTCCTCCTGTTTATGTCGTTCTTATTTGCTGGACTCGATGGATTTTGGTAATCCTGAACGTTGCCCATCTTATAACAAATAGTCACTCCGTTAATTTCCCTAAAAGGAATTAATAAATTACAAGTACGTAGAGTCACGTATTAAACAACGAAAGTATGCTATACTCAAGCGAGCGATATCTAGCGGAGAGTGGAAGAAATATTTCGCGGGGACTTACCCAGCTAGATCGAAACCCTCCGGTGCTTTTTTTAGACGACTACAAACTATTATATCGGTTACAGCAGAAGACGTACTATTTAATGATGCTAGTTTGTAACAAAGTTGCTTTTTACGCCAAGCTTTTTGATCGGTATCGACAGTTTTGTAGAGTAAACTATAACCTTCAGGTGGCGCTGCTTTTTCATTTATTATACTGACTTCCTGAACCACAAATCCAGGAATACCTATTTACAGCAATTTATAATAGATAGATAAGAGTGATTATTTACAGAAAACTGCAAATAGTGTAACAAATAGTTTAGATTTTAGGTTATGCATGAATTAGGACTACTTTATTTTTCTTTTGTATTTCAACCCAGCATCCCAAATAACAAAAGACAGATCATACCTTCGGTTTTTGAGAGGCACAAATATCTGGCAGTCTTATTTATTTTCAAAAATGATCCCTCTCTCCACAAGTCAGCGTCTTGGTCTGCGTCGTAAGTCTTTATGATAGGATAGAATCCTAGGGGGCACTTATCAGCACTATTGACAATCTAAATTTGGAATTTAAGAGTGATAATGACGTTCGTCAAACAACCCACTGTCAAAAATGTGTGTGGGTCCAAAATAAAAACAACAATCTCGTAATTTTACCTGAATTGCTGTCACAGGCCGGTCGTCAGGCAAAGCTGATGAAAGAGTATTCACAATTTTGTTCGATTGTGAATGTTGTAACATTATTTGTGATAATAGATGGTGTCTGAACTATAATACAAAACAAAAGTCACTGAACTGATCTATGAGTGTAATGTTAAAAATAGCCGACAAGTCTCTATTTACTTACTTCTAACGGTCATACTACTTTTCTACACTTTTGGAAATGAATTCCATGAAATAAACAGTCACTTTGTTTAAAACTTAACTACTTTAACCAGTTCTATCGCGATTTAAGTTTGCATAATGAATTAGGATGCGTTTAAACTCAGTCCTTTAAGTTCACAAATCAGTCTTTTCTATATGTATTAATATCTATTAAAATTTCATTAATTATGAGTCATGATTAGTTCTGGTTGTGACTATTGCCTCTGATCCTAGGATATTAACCATGTTGGAATTGAATTATTTCATTTTTGTTTGGAACCTACAGTGACATTTTAAAACTTTTAAGTTTTAAATTCCAAATAATCAAAGAAAAGTAGTTTCGACTCATTTATAGTCATACTAATAATTGCGAATCAGTCAATCAAATAGTTACCAACAGTAATCACAAATGCAATCATAGTCATTACTGATCAATTATTCCCAATATGGCCCAATCAGTAACAAATAGTAATAAAATGGTAACAAAACTTATTTAGCTTCTCGACATGTCATAGGATGGTCATAAGCATGAAAATATAGGCATAAGACATGTCAGAGAGATAGTACAATACTTAGTCCATAGATAATAGATCTACAAAGGGTAGACTTAGTCACATTCATGTTATTATTATCTTCACATACTTTGGCGCGAATTTACAATTTTGTAAAGAACAAAATGAAAGGAAGTTAACCTAACTTTGCTTTTCATACTCAAATCTGTTAAATATTTTCGAAACAATGAACGGAAATAACGATGATAACATAGAAACTATAGAATGTTTGAATGAATATTTATCAACACACAATAATTCTGAGCCATTTTCTTATTTTTCCAAAGTCCCCGACGACTGCAAAACGTATCCCTGTGTACTAGGAATCGATGAAGCTGGACGAGGCCCCGTCTTGGGTTAGAACAAAGCATGCCATTGTTTAACTATTTTTACATTTTAACTATTGACTGTAGGGCCAATGGTATATGGAACGGCATTTTGCTGTATCAACTCAATGCAAATCTTGGCGAATTTGGAATGTGACGATTCCAAAGCCTTAACCGAAGAAAAACGGGTAGAAATACTTTCCAACTTATTGAAACAACGTAATAAAGTAGGTTGGGGAGTGGAGGTAATATCCCCCACATTTATCTGTAACAGTATGTTAAGCAGAAGCAAGTATTCCCTCAATCGAGTATCCATGGACTCAGCAGTTGGTCTGATAAGAAAAGCTGTTGAAAATGGCGTTAATATTAACGCTGTATACGTGGATACAGTAGGACCCCCTGAAAAATACCAAGCATATTTGGAGAGCTTGTTTCCAAACTTCAAAATAACAGTTGCCAAAAAGGCTGATTCAACATATCCAATAGTATCAGCTGCCAGTATTTGTGCCAAAGTAACAAGAGACCAAGCTCTGAAGGTATGGAAATTTTCTGAAGATCTGGCTGAAGCTGCATCATCTTTTGGAAGTGGTTATCCTGGGGGTAAGTAAGAATTCAGTTTTATATCTGCAATTGGCAGTGCAAGATTCAGTGATCTTAAAATTTGGTATGGGGTAGGTCTAAAAGCTTCTCTTGTTTTAATTTTATGAAATAAAGAACAGTGACCATGTATTTTGGTTAATATTTTGCAGATCCGGTGACAAAAAAGTTCTTATTCGATTTCTGCGATCCAATCTTTGGATTCCCCCAATTAGTGAGATTTAGTTGGTCTACTGCCAGTACAGCATTAGAGGAATCTGCTTACCATGTTGAATGGGAAGCTATCGAAGAAGATGAAAAACAATCCAAGAAAAGCAGAACCCTGATGACCTCCTTTTTTAACATGACAAAGTCAGAAACTGATTCAAATGTTCAAAAACATAATTTTTTCAAACGCAGAAATTTATCGTCGACGTTAGAATTGTAATTATATTTATTTATATTGTACCTTCACGCGAATAATAAAATTCCTTATTTTTGCAGTACCTACAATATTTTATTTACTGATTAAATAGTTTTGCCTTACATATTCGAATGTAAACAAGAATTGCTTATTAATCAATCTACTTCTTGTATCATTATCATAATTATTAATATAACTTTACAGTTTTTTTACACAACAATGATGTGGCAGAAGTAAAACATGCTATTACTGAAATAGTCTTATCAATCAGCTTTTTAACGAAGTAACAATAATAAATAATTATTTCAAGTCGCACAAGCAACAAAAAATCGTCCTACTACATATTAAAGCCATCCTACGTAACTTTACAATCACATTTCCTTAAATGCTTTTTTTTGTTTACTGTAAGAGATAATACACATTTAGATTTAATAAAAGATAAAAATTCGCTTACTAACCCTATTTAATATTTATTATGAACGCACGGTAATTGTATTGTTAGTTATTTAATTAACAATTAACAGTAAGCTATATAGTATGTATTTACGTACCAGATACAGTAACTTCTTTCTTTTTAATGGAATAAATTACTTTGGTTTAGGAGGGTGGATTAATATTATAATGGGTGTATGTAGTTGGTGAAGAACGTTTTTTCTCCACATTTTAGGACTTCTATTGAAAGTTTAAAACCTTACAAAATCTAAATCACTTTGGTACCTAACTTTCAAAACATAAATTGCAGTGTCATTACAAATACTGTTAAGCTCTTTACCCATCATCTTCACCGTCATCATCATTATTTTTAATAACAGGATAAAACAAGGAAGAATGAGAAGACTGACTATATATTAAAAGAAACTTTTTTCATAGAGTTCTAGCCGCCTAGAGTGGCGAGTGCCTTAAGAAAACTCTCTGGTGTTAGGATGTGGGAAGAACCGATGATGACCTCCCAATTTTTAACCGCGTTTGTCACCTCGTAGGCACATCGGATTTCTGAAAAGCAAACCCCTCCCACAACGAAAACTATCAAACGTGGGACATTTTTTATCGTCTGCTGGCCCTTGTCTTTGTGCCAATGCCCATAGCGAGCACTGAAAAAGAAAAATTTGAAGACAATAACAATGTTAATGCAATATATTGTATGTATATTTGACGTGTACCTTGTTGGGGCATGATATCCTGTGGTTTGTGCTCGACTTACGTAAAAGGGGAAATGTTTCTGATCGAGTTTGTCGTCGATTGCATCCTCCATTACGTCCTTAATAACAGGTGTCCAACGTGACATCTGGTATGTTTGTTCAGTGATGCGCTCCTTTCTTGGAACTGTGTATTGCTTTTTTCTAATTCCACCCTAAATATGATTCTGTTACATTAACATTTCCCAAAATCAACAAATCTAATAATTACGTCTGAGATTACATTCACCCCCAAATACTGTAAGTTTGCGATTGTCTGCTTGTCCTTTATTTGCGCATGGGTGGCAAGTTTGGATAGGTTTTCGTCCGTGATACCATTTTTGGTCATTGCGTACAGTGCAATGATCCTCATTTTGTCATACTCGTTGGTTATCTTGGGATCCAGTAGTATTGGAACAATATTACGCATATGATCTTTAATTTTTTCTCCTTCGGCATCGGTGCCCATGGCCAAGTCCTACAGCAATTTCTTTAGTGGAAAATCATTTACCATTTACAAGGACTTACTTGTTCAACTTTACACAATTTATCCACATATCCTTGATATGCCTTCATACAGTCTTCTGCTAAGTGTAAATGAGTAGAATATTTAGAAAGTTCTTTCTGATATTGTGGCATTTTCTTTATCATTTGGGACAAATCCTTGATTGACTGTTTATCTGTTTGAGTCATGCGCTTGGAATCGGTGAACTTTTTCAAATTTTTGGTAACACTTTGAGAAACGACGGCGATGTGCTGATGACGCAATTCTACCCACAATTCGTCGTTTTCGTCAAGCAAAACTTCCTTCTTTTCAGCCGATCCCGCCGTAGCTTCATAGCTTTGTGAATAAAAAAATAAACACATAATTTTCATTTGCTTACCACAAATGTAAGTCAATTTTTTTTTACCGATATACGTCGTTTTCGATTGGTAATAAATCGTAAGCCATTGCCTGGAATGTTAATTCATGTAAGAGAGGCGATACACAATCGAACCCTCTGTCCAAAATTAAGAGTTGTGAACGAGCTTTTTCCGGTCCTTCACCCATTGTCGGTTCATCCGCTTTATAAGCGTCTAGTTTTTGTTGGATTAACTGTGCTAATTCTACATTTTTGTCCCAATCCCTACGTTGAAAAGTCATTGACACAATTTAATTATCTATGTTACGGGTAGAAACTTTCTTACGCTCTATAGCGCACTGAAGGGTATTCCCCGAGAGTAGCACAGAGGGTTGCAATCTGTTCGGCCATACGCTCCATATTGGCAGTTCTTGCAGCAGAAAATGAAGGATCATAAAAACACTGAAAGGTGTCGGCGCAATCTAATGAGAATACCTGAAATTTCACATACNTAAAGCAAACAGTATTTTAGTTCATTCAATTTTTTTAGAAACAGTTTATATCTAATTTAGATAACTGCGCAAATCTGGTAAGTCTATTACTAAAACACATCATTGCCACCACCAACCCCAAAACACAATTTTACGCCTCTGCGTTTTGAGTTAGTTTTAATTAGAAGAAGCTAAAAATGCAGTTATATTTTTTTTAATACCTGATCTTCTACTGGTACAAATGCAATATTAATTTCCTTTAGGGCTTTGATAAATTTCGCGACTCTAGCCTGGCTTAGTTGATAAAAAAGATCATCAGGGCATGCTGAGAAGAGGTTCATAACAGCATATTACATAATGAAATAATAAATAATTTTGGAAATATATTTCTTAATCACCTTCTGTAAAGAAAACATGTGCCGCTCTATACATTGGGCGAGGCCCTTCGAAATCGTTTATAAGAGAGTGAACAGATTTTTCACTTGGAGTTATCAAATACACTCCCTCCATTGTCTGCAAAGGTTCGCGTCTTTTATTGATATCTTCCACCACTGCAAAACGGTAATAAATATTTAAAAATAATTCTTCTAATGGAGAAATAAAACTAACAAGTAATGCCCTCAGCTGAAATGTCGTGCATTTTACAACATGCAGAGACCATTCGCATTGAAAGTTGGTCCACAACAAGAACTCTCCATTCGACGTGTTTGGAAGGTCCATTCTTTTTTGGACCTTTGTACTTAATGACTTCATTCATGATTTCTGAAAAAAATAGTTACTGTTTTTCGCATCAATATTGGGGAATCCCCTACTACAATTACAAACAGCGACACCTTTTATCAATTTACACCTATCAAAACCCTTCTTAATAAAAATGTAATCTATTGTTAGTTTTAATAATGTCGCTCTTTTTGAATTGTTTTTAATAAATTTACTAACTTGTTAATTATTATAAACAAAGAATTTATTTTAAAGTAGTCTACAAAGAAATAAAGCGAAAGTTGTGATTGCAGAATGTCTCAATTTTGTTACACCCTCCATGACTCATAACAGCTGAAAAATGTTTCATACATGAATAATACCCCCAAATAAAAAATAACATATTGGTATATTTTAATAAAAAAAACAGTGCTGTAATGTACGAATGAATGGCGTCAAAATGAACACTTACTTTGACCCACTTGTCCTTTAAGTGCCATTTTGTTAGGTGTTTCTTTACTTCAAAATGCCTGTTATTGTGAATTTCTTGACACGAGTGTGAAAATCAATTCCAAAACACTTCCCAAGTTGCACCGTAAAAAGATTTATACAAATATGCAATATAATGTCAAATTAAAACGTTTTGTTCTGTGGTGGCAAGTGGTAATGTCTGTCAAATTCGTCAAAATAATTGTTAAACCACCATTGATTTTCTACATAATTATCGGGGAGTTAAATTGTGTATGAACACCTTTTCATATCTGTTAATAGACACCACATATTCATTATTCTAATTTAAGAGATTTAGAAATAACAGAAGCTTGGCTTAACATCACCACTCGATGCCTTGAAGGTAAAAGCTCTAATCTATGGCACCCTAAGGTAATGTAACCAGTTCCGTTCATAAATAAGGATCCGTCTGAACTTGTCTATGGTCCGTCCTTAAACTCTATGGTTCTTAACCTCAATTGTGTTTGTGAGGGTCTGAATAATATTGTGATAGAAAAACAGGAGTATATCACTAAAATATGGTAAGCTATACTAAAAAATACAGTTGCTAAAAAATTTATAATAAAAAAAGCTGAACATCTAGCGTTCTATTTAAAAATTTAATTTGGCAATTAAAGTGATGATGGCAGATATTTTTTAAAAACGGCATCTGTTCCAGCAATTACAGCTTAAAATAAAGCTTTTCACCCCAAAATTGAAGAGTTAATATTTGTATAATGTACTAACGCTATTCATTTTGTGTTTTAGGGGTTTGTGAAGGTGGTAAAAAACAAACAGTACTTTAAACGGTACCAAGTTAAATTTAAGAGGCGCCGCGAAGGTAAAACCGACTATTATGCCCGAAAACGTCTTATCACTCAAGACAAAAATAAATACAACACCCCAAAATATCGCTTCATCGTTCGTTTATCAAATAAGGACATTACATGTCAAGTTGCATATTCCCGAATAGAAGGTGACAAGATTCTGTGTGCTGCTTATTCCCACGAGTTACCTCGCTATGGCGTTAAAGTGGGACTCACGAATTATGCTGCTGCATACTGTACGGGTTTGTTATTGGCACGAAGATTATTGAAGCAGTTGGAACTTGACAAGATATATGAAGGTACTACAGATGTAAATGGCGATGAATACAATGTAGAAGATGTGGATAATGGCCCAGGAGCTTTTAGGTAAATTATTGTCTGTTAGGTTTTCAGTTACTATTGCCAGAAAAAAACTACTTCCTTAATGATGAAGTAAGCACATGCGCGTCATCTGACTAGCATTATTTTTGGGTAAAGTGTTGTGGTTTTACATGTTTTATGTATGTCACATCATTTCATCCAATTACTTGTTTTAGATATGATTGAAGTGCAATTCTGAATATTTTTTTTTTTTCAATTTTAACCAAAGGTAATTTGTGCATTAATGTATTAATAATTTTTTCTATTGTTTAAAGGTGCTACTTGGACGTTGGTTTGCATAGGACTACAACAGGAGCTCGTATTTTCGGAGCCATGAAGGGTGCCGTTGATGGAGGGCTCAACATTCCTCACTCTGTAAACCGTTTCCCTGGTTTTGACAATGAAGGTAAATCTTTAAAAGCTGATGTTCACAGAAGTCACATTTTTGGACAGCATGTTGCTGAATACATGAAATCACTCGAAGAAGAAGACCCTGAGGCGTTTAAACGTCAGTTTAGCCAATACATCAAGCTTGGTATAGCTGCCAATCAGGTATGTTTCTATACATATTGATTTATTAATCTGTAATTGCTCTAAGAACGTCCAACTTAATTACTTGAGCAATGCCATTATTCTCAAGTGTCGCAGTTGGACAAAATTATCAATGAAGTTGCTCCCTGTATTTTACCAGAAATTTTATGGTGATTTACTACAGGGTGACTTGAACATGATTTATTTAATTTTGCCTACTTAAAATGTCTTGTTATGAATTTGTTTTTTTTTTTGTTGCATTTAGATTGAGAACATTTATAAAAACGCTCATGCTGCCATCAGGGCTGATCCTTCACCACAACAGAAGGAACCTAAAGCTCCACCAGCGAAGAAGAAGAGGTGGAACCGCGAGAAGCTGTCATTGGCAGAACGCAAGAACCGCATTGCCCAGAAGAAGGCTTCGTTCTTGAAAAAATTAGAGGCGCAGGCTGAACCATAACCTGTTCTGACGTTTAAATAAAATAATAAACATCTTTAACATATTACCTGAAGTTTTTTATTACATTATTTAGCTTTTGGAATCCCAAAAGATTAATAATTATAACTGTGCCTTTCGTAAACAAAATCAAATCAATGATAATGATTACAAAAAGGATGTTCGTCATGATGGAGGTAAGCAACAGTGATCTAGTCTTCAGTAAATTAATGAAATTAAATAGTTCTCAAGTAGAATAATATTTAATGTCCATAGTTTGGCAATTTATCATATTGACGGTTCCCTTTTTTATATTAAAGAATATTTTCCAAAGAAAAACGCATAATAAATAGATTTATTGTAAAATGGGACTATTCTGTCGTAACATATCCTCATGTAAGAGCAACTTTTTGTTCATTTCTTCCATGTTGGTGTAAATATTTTCAAGGGTCCAGTGTTTTCTAAGAAGAGCATCGTCTATAGTGAAATGACCATGTCGTATACACTGTATTTCAGAGCAGTAGGCAGTTGAATGAAGTTGTACCCCTATATCGTGTATCAGCGTCTTGAGATACATTTCGTATTCGTTTATGCATTGCACCTCTACAAAATAGACGTTTATAAATTTTTAATTGTTAAAGTTCATTTTACAAGAAGAATGTTTTACACCTATTGTAAATTGGGGTGACTGAAAATTCACACATTTAATCCCATATAAAACGGGAATTTTAGATGAGGCAGGTCTAATTAAACCTCTAATTGCCAGTTCATAAGCAGCTTGCGATTGATTATCTACTCCACAAAGTCTAAAATAAACAAATGTATTGGATCATAATAAATTACTAAATAAGAACATTATTACTCACTCAAACATTTTCTTTTGATGAGCTGCCTGCATGGAAGTCAGTAACTTTTCGATATGACTAAGTTTAATAAATCTAAAAGTCGATCTTTCAACAACTTTTCCGTCTTTGAAATAGGTATCAGTTGCTTCACCCAAAATACCCCTAACTTTGTAAGTTCGTGCTAATCTGTTTTCCCTAATTATTTTAGCGGCTTTTGTACCGTCATTTATTCCTAATACTGCAATGTTTTCTTATTAGAAATTACTGTAACGAGGAATTCATATTTTATTATTATTTTACATAAAACACCACTGGTGTTAGGTCCTAAATAAGACGACCATGAGCATGAAACATCTCCAAACTGATATCTCGGCCCCACAACTAATACATCGTCTGCTAAATTAACTTTTTTTACAATATTTAATTCTTTAGTTGTGTCCCCCTCTATTTGAATATATTCTCCTGGAGGCCTTACTTCTAACTTATCTAATCCTATAATCCAACAGAAGCAATTATTTTTGTGAGAAGTTCAATGAAATCAAAATTAATTAAAGTTGATAATTTTTTTGATAGTTATGAAAATAATGAGAGTAGTTATTATTTAATTTAGTTAATCGATTTTTATTCCATATTTATGTTAGTTAAATTTTATATATCGCCGTTGACTGATATTTGTTACTAACTTAAGCATTTCAAACTTAAATTATTCATAATAATAATACGTTATATTGTTATTAGAATATGTTATTTTTAAATGCTACAATTACAACATGCTGCTATGTATTTCCAATGGCTTTTTTTAATTTTTTTATTAATTTAGGATAGTGCCTACTTCATTTTTTATATAAATATTTTGAAATGAAGGGCACGAAAATATTTTCCAAATGGAAGTTATGTCAATTATTTATGTAACTATTATTAAGGAAATGCTGATACCATCGTTGTATCTGATTAATCTTTTAAATAAATATTAAATCCTAATTAAGAGGCTTTCAAGTTTCCCGCCAGATAATTCAGCGATCGTGCGTCGAGTTGCACAATAATAATTTTGACGAGTATCAAAATAGTTTTGAGTGAAGAACACAAGGCGAGAAAAATATTTCTTTTTGAATTTTATAAAAACATATTTTTTAAGGTATGTAAGGAAATAATTTTTATTTAGTTACCTGAACAAACGGCATTAATAATGCTTTTCCTAATTTGATTACATTTTATACCAGCCGGTTTATAAACGCAAATTACCCCTCTTAAATTATTCCATATTTCTTTTGCGTTTGCTGCTAACATAATTGTTTCTTCATAAGTATCACTTTTTAATTGTAATTTGTTGTAAAACGGTTTTTATGCTTTATTTATAAGGTTATAGTTCATCTTCAGACACTTGACAGCATCCGTTCTGTTTATACAGGTGCTGACAGTTGTAAATTTAAATTTGTTTAAATTATTAGATTTATCAGATATCTGATTACTTATTGGGCTTATGTAAAGTATTTATCTTCCATGCAGCTGGTTAAAGTTATATTA